GAAACCTGGGGAGGGCTAGCCTCCCACTAGTTCGAATTAAGGGTCTACACAGCCCTTAATTCGAACTAGTAAGTTCGAACTAGGCTTAATCCTCGTAAAATGAGGTTTACCTAGTTCAAACTAAGCGCTCCGCTAGTTCGAATTAAGTTCGAACTAGCGGAGCGCTAATGTAGCGCCTATCAAAGTTAGTTCGAACTAACGTCTGTAAGTTTGAACTAACTTTGTAGTGTAGACATACCCTCAGAGAGGAGCCCTCACATACAGTTGAATGGGAATAAGCACAGAGCCACTATAAGAAAAAAGGGGAGCCCATGCACACTGCCGATTGGATATCAGCACAGAGCCGGAGTCACAGAAAGGGAGCCCATGCACACAGCCAAATGGGTATCAGCACAGAGCCGGTGTAACACCCAGGAGCGCATGAACACAGCCGAAGGGTTATCAGCTCAGTAAGAGGCGAGCAGTGACAAGGTGGGGTCTGATGGGGTAGGCCCTGGTCCCAGAGCGGATTTGCCTTGGCTCTGGGAAAACCTAATCTCTTTGGCTTGGTCCAATTTTCAATGCCCCTTACTCAGGGGAAATACGGCCCTCCGGCCTAGTCTCTAAAGTTCAGTGCCTCTCCCTCAGGGGAAATACACCGCCCTGTCACACACCCTCCCCCTTAAGTGGGTTCTTAACCCCTCATCAAACTCGATCCCTTCTCCTTCTACCCGGGAAAAAAAATCCGCATTAATGTGAGCCCTCCGTGGTCGCTGGGCTATGCCGAAACCATAGGGCTGTAGTGATAGGTACCACCTCGTTATCCGGGGATTAGTCTCTTTCATGGTCTGTTACTAACAGAAAAGGGGTTCCCCAGCAAATACTACCTTAAAGCATCCACCGCCCACTTTACTGCCAGTGCTTCTTTTTCTGTGCTCAAATATCCCTGCTCTCAGGGGAACAGCTTACAGCTCACATATATCACAGGGTGTTCCTCCCCCTCAATCCGCTGGGACAACACTGCCCATAAGCCCATCTCTGATGCATCCATCTGCACTATGAAAGCTTTGGAAAAATCGGGGTTGAACAGGACGGGGGCCGTTAGTAAGCCGGTCTTTCAGGGCTTAAAAAGCCTTCTCACATTCAGCAGACCATTGCACCCTGTTCTGCCGAGCCGGGGTGCAGGAGACGGGGGACCCCCAACGCGCCGTCACAGGGGCGGCCAATGCTGCAAAATCCGGTATAAACCAGCTAAGACCAGGAACTGGCGGACCTGCTTTTTCGTGGTGGGTGTCTTACATTTCTGCAGGGCCTCCACCTTGTCAAGCCGAGTTCGTAGGGTTCCCTGCCCCACCATGTACCCCAAGTAGGTCACTTCGCGATGGCCCAAGTGACATTTTCCCAGGTTGGCCATAAGGCCTCCCTCCTGCAGGGTTGCCAGGACCACTTCTAGGTGTTGTAATACATGTTTCATGTTGGGCTATAGATCACTATGTTGTCTATGTAGGTGGCTGAATAGAGATGGTGTGGATGTAGCAACTGTTCCATTGATCGCTGAAACATGGCAGTATCCCCGTGTAACCCGAACGGCATGGTCACAAACTGGAACAACCCAAACAGCATGGGGAAGGCAGTTTTCTCCTTAGAGGCTGGGGTAAGGGGGATCTGCCAGTATCCCTTCGTCAAGTCGAAGGTAGAAATGTACCTCACTTGGCTGAGCCGGGCTAGTAACTCATCAACCTGTGGCATCGAAACACAAAATGGCATTAACCTTGCGGAAATCGATACAGAATCGAATTGCACCATCGGGCTTCGGGACGAGTACAATCGGGCTCCTCCATTCACTGTGGGACTCCTCTTCCACTCCCATCTCTATCATCATC